TTGTTATGAATCTAGTCTTCAGCTTAGATAAAGTACTAAACTCCATGGAGCAGAATTTATGCATGTGACAGTGATTCAAAGACTTCATTATTACACCGTTAATTCTCCTTATCTGCTTCTAACTCCCCTGAAATTTGAGCACGCACACACACAAACACAAATGCACACAAGCACGCACACACTCTATCCTCTACCTTCTTTAATCTTCCCTTAGAAAGGATGAGAAGTATTCTTCAACCCTGTTTTGCCTCCATCACAGAGTCTGATATATCCTAGGCTAACTTGCTGTGTAGCTGAAAATAACCTCTAATTTCCAATCCTCCTGCATCAACACCCCCATGTGGGGATTATAGGCATTTGTCACCTCAGTCTGCTTTTATGCAGTGGTAGGAATGGAGCCCAAGGCTCTGTGCTCACCAACTTTTTTTGTTGTTGTTGTTCGACTGTGGGCTTTCCTCTTGCTGTGGATCCTGTTCTCCCACTGAAAGAGAAAGGCAGAGTTATCGAAGGGTCTCAGTGGTGTAGAAGCTATCCTTCCTCCCTCAGACTCTCAAGAGGAGATTCCCCCAAGGAAACTGCAAACCCCAATGAGTGCACCTGTCCTGATGCCCCTCTGTCCTGAAGGATCTCTGTTGTGCCTCCTGTTACTTCAGGATCACTCCTTTTCCCACCAAATTCAGGCAAGAAGATACCTTCTGGGTTCAGAAGTGATTGCTTTCCCCACAGCCTTTCCAGGAGTTAAGATTCCACTCATGTCTGAATCACCATAATAAAAACATGGTTAGGAAAGCAGTCAGATCTTGGAAACCCACAGTGGTTTTTTCCTACACAAATGCCATGGACATGATGATTACTGTTGATATTATTTGTTAAACTGGTGAATGTTAAGCTGGATGAATAACTTTAAAATATGTGAATAATTAGATTAAAAACAAAACCGTGACTCTGATGACAGGGCGGAAAGTATACTGAGGTGTCACGGACATGGACAGTGCTGGGAAACCCTGAGATGGAAGCCATCTTGAAGGTTTTTATAGGCCTTAGGAGAGCACTTATCTTCACTACATTCCTAGAGAGAGAAGAGAGCCCTACTTTAATTTACTTAATCCTTGTTTCCCTTCTTTAGGAAGTCAAAACACTGACATCATTCTAAAACATCTCACAGGCCCCTGGGATCACCATTCCAAAGTCTAGGCCCTGACAATGTCTGTCCCAGTTTGGGGGAGGTGAGCTGTGTCATGCAAAGGAAGCTTGTGCTATTTTTAAGTTGATTTAACACATCATTGAAACATATCATACACATATCACGCCCATGACACACACACTGCATTGTAACACAGCATGTGTCATACATACATTCTCTCTCACTCACACACATACTTGCTCTTCTTGTCCGACTTTTAAGAAAGGAAGGAGGCCAGAGAAGCCGAACCCAGGGACTTGAGTTGAAAAGGCTGTTAAAGTTTAAAAGCCAAGTGCCCCTCCAGTTCTCAGCCTGGCTTTGAGACATGTGGGAGGGCTTCAAAGCCACACTGCCCCTCTTTCAGGCTCAGGCTTACAGTTGGTCCCCAAATGTTTACCAGCGTGAAGATGCCTAACTTACAGGAAGTGGGAAATGGGTGTGGGGGTTGAGGGTGGGTGGGTGAGTAGGGAGTGGGGAAGAGGGTGGGTGATCTGTTGATGTGGTTAGTCTGTCATTGACCTTGTTTGGGTATAGCAGGAGTTGAATTAGAAAATGAAAATTTGTTTCATCTTGAGCATATTTCATCTCCCCCCCCCCCTTTTTTTTTTAACTTTCCTTGAGGGAAATTTTTTTTTAACCCAAGTGGAATCGGGTCTCCAGATTTGGTGCTCAATTTCCCTTCATGCTGCAATAGCTACCATAGTCCTTTTCCCCATACAGTCATCTGGCCGCCTACAGAGTGATTCCTAACCCACCCAAAGACAAGAGGGGCGGGGAACCTGGCCCAGGAGCTGAAACTGAATGAATGTTGGTTGGTGATGATGCATCAAAAGAAAAGGACCGGGATTTCTAAGATCAGAGCTATCGCGATGGTTTGTGGCGCGCCACCGTTTAGCAGACTCTCAAGGAGAGAACTCTGCCTGAGGAAGGGTGATTAATAAATAAAGACAGCTGCTGAGGGTTTTGGAGTGTCCTAATCTGGAGAAGATAATAAACGACGAAAACTGTACCTGGTGATTATTTAGAACAAACATTTTAATACTTAAGGTTCCAGACCGTGGCAGCCTCTGTCCTGTCTGCAGGGCAGCAGCTCTAGCGTCTCCCACCACATTCTGCCAGTGTGTGTGTGTGTGGGGGGGGGTGTTCCAGGCCTTCCGAGAGGGCTGGGGAGGCACCCATCATCAGCCTGTCTCTCCCTCCTCTTACTTAGCAGTTCTGCGCTGGATGTAACCTAAGTAGTGAAATATGAATTTGCTTTTCCTGAATATGGATCTCACCTCCTTTCCATTCTCCTTTCTCCTTTTTTGATGCCCTTCATCTTAACTTCTGTTATTATCTACCCTTAACTACCACAATCATCATCAAAAATTGGCCTGGAGCTAATTTGTTTTGTTTTGTTTTCTCAGCGTTTTGAAACAAGAAGCAAACACTCCAAGGAGGTTAGTCCATACTGTATCCCCCCTTTTTTTTCCCCCTGATAGTTCCACCTATGGCTTCGTCCAGCTCAGCTGGAACACCTGGAGCTAATTTGAGGGTTGCCTGGCTAAGCTTCACACTAGTATTTGATGTTTGCGTCCTCCCTAGACTCAAGCCATTTCACCACCTCAGAAGGTGAGTGCAGGCTGATCTTAATTAACAGTGACTAGATTCACTGGCATCTTCCAGTCATTAAAGCAAACATTTGGCTTAAAATAGCCCTCTTCCCAGTCTGCCTGCCACCCTTTACCTATTTCTTTACACCACAGCGCTGGAGTCACTGACACTTGCATGGTATCTGTGGCTCAAGAGCAGAGTTTATCCTGAAAGGGAAGTGAAAAACGTGTTAACTGATCGTCAGTGGAGACAGCTAGCAGCAGGCCAGCCCTCAGGATGACTACGTTGTTTTTCTGTCCATCGCGGTGCTGACTCAGCATCAGTTAATAAACCCTCTGCAGAAGGCTGGATTTCTTTTGTTTAATTATCACTTGGACCTTTCTGAGAACTCTTTAAGAATTGTTCACTCAGTTTTACACCCCCTGGCACAAGAGCAGGCCAGCTGTCTGTTTCCTTTTGGTGCTAGCGCCCCCTCTGGCATAACATGAAATAACCGGTGGACCTACCGCCCCAAGGAGTGTGTGCTGTTTGCTGTTCTTGTCCGCTGGTACGAATTCGATTTTCCTGAGCTACCCAGATTGGAGAAGGATTTTTAGATGCACACACCATTTTCTGTGATACAATTCTTCTACCCACTCCTCCCCGCCCCCCCCCACCCACCCCCGAAAAAATTCTGGGAAAGTTTCTTGAAAGAGAACTTAAAAGATAAACAGGCCTATCTTTATGATTGAGTTGGGCTTTTGTTTTGCTCTGTTTCATTTCTTCCTGTAAACAAATACTCAAACGTCCACTTCATTGTATGACTAAGTTGGTATCATTAGGTTGGGCCTGGGTGTGTGAATGTGGGTGTGGATCTGTCTCGTGTGTTTAAAATACTAGAAAAGATACCACAACCTAAAGTTGCAGAAGAGTTTTTTAAAAAACAAAAACAAAAACCTGTGCTGAGGCGAGCAAGAAAAGTGGAAGACTTGACTTTCTGTGACCCCAACAGTGACTGGGATGGGGTGCCGGCTATAAATGGGCCCTTTGCATCATTGTTTCTCTGAATGAGAGGATTCCTTGCAGAAGGCACAAGACCATTGAAGGAAGTGAAGCATCTGGTTTGTTTTGTAATGAGAAGCAGGAATGCAAGGTCCACGCTCTTAATAATAAACAAACAGGACATTGTATGCCATCATCCCAGGATGTCCTTCCTTCTCCAGAGGACTGGCTGGGGCTGAAGGAAAAGCCAGCCAGGCTCACAGCAAGCCTCACTAATTACTGCCTCGCCCGGCTTTCCACTCACAGCGCTCACTTCAATATCCCCCTTTTAAACCGTGACCCATTCACGCTCCCCATTGTGTGTGTGTGTGTGTGTGTGTGTGTGTGCAAGCTCAGAAGCCTGCCTGGCTGTGGGTTTGGGGATGAGAGTCAGGAAGAACAAAACGAGTACTATGATTATAACTTTTTCCTGTTTCCCTATTTCCAAATGGTCGAAAGAAGGAAGTTAGGTGTACCCGAGCTGAGACGTATTCAGTTAGCAGGAGAAATGAAATCCTACACGTTTTAAACACTGGAGGAGAAACGCCTTAGAATTGTTTCATTGGCAATGACTCCAGCGAGTTTTGTATATGGCATGTGACTCCAAAACGCTTAAACTCTCTCTCTCCTTCCAAGTACCTTGGATCCTGTAACTGACTTGGGTTCTCTTCTTTGGAGGAGCCCCCCCCCCCCCAACGCCACCCCGCCCCATTCTGCCGCGACAGGAAGCAGGCGATCCTGGAGCACTTAGAATACAATGGCAGCGTGAGTAAACGCGGAGGGCGAGCGCCTGCAAAGGGAAGTAAGAAGATTCCCAGTCAGTGTTGAAATCCACTTGCAGAGAGAGAGAGGGGAGAGAGAGAGAGAGAGAGGAAGCTGCCGCGGCTCGCAGGGGTGGGGTTGGGGGTGAGCCCTGAACCCCACGCTGCGCACGGCTGGGCCGGCCAGGTGCGGTCACGCCCCCATCCCGGCGGCGGCTGGTCGGAGTGAATCAGACCCGGCGGAGAAGTCTGCGGCGGGGCAGGGAGGAGGAAGCGCCGTCGCTCGCCAGCGCAGACCGCGCCGCCGCGACACTCGGCCCTCCAGTGTCGCCGGGACGCAAGAGCAGCGCGCACGCAGCACCTGTCCGCCCGCGGCCGTAGAAAAGGAGGGAGCGGCGAGGTGCGCGTCAGTCCAGCTCAGCCCGGCAGGGGCGCGGGAGGATGTGGACCGGGTGGACAGGAGCGAGCCTTATCTCAGATGTGGGATCTTCTCTTGGAAAAACCCGTGGGTCCAACCTTGGTAAGGAACTGCGTTCTGCTGCTGCTGCTTCTTCTTTTTTTTTTTTTTTAATCCGATTTGAAAACTTTTCGTCCCCTTTTTCTTTCTTTCTTCTTTTTTTTTTTTTTCCTTTTTTTTTCTCTTTAAAAAAAAAAAAACCCCAAACCCCACCTTTTTCGTTTTTGTGGGGGGGCCCGTGTAAAATTTTAGAAGGCTTTTCCCCCCCCCCCCCCCGGTATGAATCATTAACCCTTTCAGTTCTAGACATAAATTGTCGATTCGCCGAAATTTTTCGGTCGTGGCTCTTGTCCCGCTTCCTCGCGCGCCGCCAGCGAACTAACTCTCCCGGGCTGGCTTAGGTTTTCGGTTTTATTTAACTTTAACATCGCCTGTCCAGCGTGACCTTACGTGTTGGAACTAAATAAAAATAAGGTGGTTTAGGTTGTAACTGGGGCAAAGGCAACTAAATGCCCCCCACCCCCCCGCGCGCGCCCCAGCATCATATTTAGGGAAGAGGTGGGGAAATGTAAAAACCACTCCGAGGGACTCCGACAGCATTGTGTTTGCGCTTTCACGAGCGCCTGCTCGCTCGTACGTGGATACCCTTACTCCCAATTCCTATCTGCCGCGTCTGTGTGGGAATGCGTTGCAAGGGCTCGTTCGTCTTTTTGTTTTTCCTCTTTGGGAAGCACTCTTTCCGAGGGCAGATAACAGGACGATCCCCGAGTCTTCTGTATTACTTTAGTTACTGTAAACTGTGCCACTTGAGTGACTTCTGGGAATTCGTGCACTTTCACATTTAAATGGAAAGTGCTATTTGTAGCTGACGGCTCCTGAAGGAATGCTCTTCAGGGAATTCTATTGAATATTTTTTTTTTTATGTTTTGTTTTTACTTTTCCTATCTGGCTCGGGATGCCCACCGATCCAAAAGGCTACGCGGGGTGTTTCCCCTTCGCCCATTTCTCTCTTCCTGTGGTCCAGGAGAGCTCGGAAGGCTGGTGCTCTCGGGCTTCCCTGCTGGAGGATGAAAGAGACAGAGCGCGCGCGCGGCAGAGGGGGGGGGGGGCAGTTGTTTTGAAAGTTGTTTCGCGTAGGGAGCTGGTGGGAAAGTTCAGTCTTCCCCGTTTGGAAAAGGCAGGCTGGGTTCCGCTCCTGCACCACACGCGCTTTCCATTTTTAGCTTCATTCAGAGGCAGACTGCGCTCCTTCCTCTTCCTCCCCTTGTTTGTGACACTTCTCTGAGGCAGCTTTTCCACAGAGCTGAGGGTCTGGCGGCCATGACCCCAGGCGTCCCGGGACACAGGACACAGCAGCGCCCTCAACCTATTTCTTGCCTTGAGAGGTAAAGCCAAGAATTGTTCTTTTTCTTCCGATGAGGTTGCCATATACATATGTGTGTGTTCATACATACATATATGCATACATATATATATATTTTTTTTTTTTTCAGCCAAGGGTTGCGTTTTAAAACTGTGCTTCTTCAAGGCAGTCTACTTTATACGGCTTTGGACTCTTACTCAACTGTACAGATACTCCATCGGCTTTTAAAGTCTTCAGACTACTGCGTTAGTCATAGCCTGTAAGAGGGAGCCACAGGAACGCCGGACAATGGGGATTAAAGGCCTTTCCCTTCTCTTCCAGGCTGCCCCCAAGTGTAGCTCCAGCTCTGTGAAGTCTCAAGAGTTGGCAGAGAGGACAGGGATCATGAAAATGGACATGGAGGACGCTGATATGACTCTGTGGACAGAGGCCGAGTTTGAGGAGAAGTGTACATACATAGTAAACGACCACCCATGGGACTCCGGGGCCGACGGGGGGACTTCTGTTCAAGCAGAGGCATCCTTACCAAGGAACCTGCTTTTCAAGTATGCCACCAACAACAGCAAAGAGGTAAGCCTCTGCCTTCTTGAGGACTGCCTGGCTCTTGGGCCAGCTCTCCTTCTGTCTCTGAGAACCAGGAGAATTCATATGCACGGGCGAATAATTGATCTTTCTAGCCACTGTTTTCATCTGCTTTCTCTTCAGGCCAATTCCTGTTCATTTCCTCCTGCCTTCAGCCGCTCTGTACTAATTAGTAAGCAGTTAAATCTTTTGGCAAATTGACATGTCTTGGAAAAGCTGACTTGCAGCTGGAGTGGGGAGCACTATGAGGGAGCACACCGCTTCGCCAGCCGGCCCTGCTGTGTAACAGCTTTGAAAGAAGGAAACTTAGAAAAGGAAGTCTTCCTTTGTCTCCCTTTGCTCATGGGATGGCTTTATTCTTTTTAACGAGCCAGCTTTATTAGCTGGGTTTCTAAAATTGTTCTCAAAACCTTGACGTGTTTATGAACCGAAGTGATGGCATTAGCCGGGAAGAGGGTCACGTAAAAATGTCCTCTGTCATGATGACTTCACTAACCACCGTCTTTACCTGTGGCAGCTCCTTCACCTTGGTCAGGCCGGCAGGCCCACTTCTGAAGTGGGGCACACTCTTTGCTGCTTCAAAGGGGCCAGTGCCTGAGGAGCACCTGATTTGTGTTTACCCTTTTATATAACAATTAGAGCCCAGCGTGATGTGTGGCTAGGGAATGATTTGCAGAACTAGCTTCTTGCTCTGAGAGTCTGGCTACTACAGTTGCTCTCCTGGTGGACTTAGTTGCTGAGACTAGCCCTCAGCCAGCTTCCCACCATCACCATCACCCACAGCACTGTGGTTTCTGATACTTGCGGTCTTTGGGGAGCAGTGAAAAGGGGGATCCCTGTGTTGTTAAGAATTCTAGATCTACTCCTGGGAGTGTTCATTATGGTCATGCCGAATCACTTTCCCCCTTCCCTGAGGAACAACATGGGAGAAGAATCCCAGGAGTCGGGAAATACTTTGTCTCTTTCCTGTTTGTATGTCTAAGTTCAATGTTTTGGGGAAGAGGGGAAAGGAAGAGACAGAGAGACCTAAAATTAAAAGAGAGGAATTCTGCTTTGAGTTTCACTAAAGCTCCACTCTTTATTTCTGATAGGACAGTGTTTGGTTTTATAAAAAGCAAATTTTAAGTTTAAGTTTGTATATAAATATTACCAAAAATAATGTAACCCGGAGGTCAACCTTAATTACTGAAAACAGTGTTCTTCTCAATAGAAAGCCTCTGAGCTTGTAGCCCTTATAGTCAATGTAGCATTTGTTTGGGTATTTAAGGCCTGGCTGTGGCTGTAAAAGGTATAGTGTGTCTTTTGCCTCATCAGATTTGACTAAATGTTGGTCCCTTCAAAAGGGTCACTCATGTCCTGTTGTCTCTGTAGCCTGTTGGGATAGAAGTAAAACCCCCCACGTTGTGGGTTACCTGCTTCATTTTCCTCCTTCTTAGTTCAGCTCTTAAGAGTTTCAGTTTTTTGCCATTCTACTGAAAATCGTGGCTGAGTGGAGTTATGCTATTAGATAATTTAGTTCAAGGTTCAGAGAGATAGTCGACTTCCCCAAAGGCTATGGCTCCAGCCAGGCACAGACTGAGAACAAAGTTCTCCGATTGCTCCAGGTGTTTGTGGATCATGCTACTCTGGTCCCTCTTGGTGTCACTGTGGCTTTATTTATCTTCCTTAACATTAGTTCAGACCCATCTGTTTGAGGTTTGGTTTTTGTTGTTGTTGCTTTTGTTATTTTTTTCTGCTGAATTCCTCCCAATTTCTGTATGTTAAAGCAACCAGAAAGAGACACTACTTGTATTTTCTGAAGGGGAGTCCTTCACAGCACATTAGGAAGTCAGAAGGTTCCCCCCTCCCCCGTTTTAGTCTTTTTTTCTCTGTTTTACTTAAGTGAAAGAGTTGAACAGTTGGGGTAGTAGTACCTCTTCAGTCCTCAATCACAAAAGCAACCAGGAAACAAAATTAAATTGTGTGACTCTCTCTCTCCCACCCTCCCTCCATCCATCTCACCATCCCTCCTGTGTTGAACTTTGGGACAGCTCCCTTGGGGTGGTGAAAGAGGCTGACAGAATTGAGCCATCAAGGGGGTGTGATAGCTGCAAACCAGTCCCAGGACAGCCGCATCTAGGAGCCACAAAATGTTTACATTATCATCGTTCAGTTAGCTCTGTGAGCCCCCCCCCCCCCAGCTGTGAAAACAGGGGAAAGGTCTCTCTACGTGTAGTTTTTATCTGATGGATTTATCTCCCCCATCTTTAAATGTTTTCATTAAAATAGCAAAAGCTGTTACTTTATGTACTGTGTGCTGACATCCTGGGGATTTTTTTTTTTAACAAGATCATTTTTCATTATGAATTGGTGCTATGTGTCAGCACCTTCCCACCGCCCCACCCCCTTGGTTTAAAAACAAAACACACAAACTGTATTTCTGATCTTAACAATTTTTAGGTCTGGGCTTAGAATCACCCTGCACTTTTATCGAGGCTGTTCTTACTTCCCATTTTCAGATTTAAAACCAAAGACAGACATGCTATTCAAAACCTTGACAAGGCTTAACCTGGTGGGTTGTTCTTTTGTGGGGATTTTCCCCTCAGCCTCCTGAAATAACCCATGAGTATTTGACTGCAGAAAAATCCATTTTTGACACTGGGCATTTAGCTTAGGAGCAGTGTCCAGAACAAGTTTCTGCTGTCAGCTGAGCTTGCTTGGCCTCAAGAGGCACTGTGGCTCCTCTGTGACTCTGACCTAGTGGTGACAAACAGCAGGCAGATCCAGGGACGTGCTGTCGGTTCTGATTGAGGTCCATTATTGAGCCGAGCCATCTGTAAAGGATCTTACCACAACGTGCAATTCCACCTCCAAACTCTTCTATTGGGTAGTGTATGTCAAGGTATCACCACATTTCCTTTTAAAGATAACAAAGTAGGAAACCTTTCAAAAACACCTGTTCATTCCTTTGAAAACTGGACTGAATTACAGACTGACCTCTTGGTCTATATCCTTATAGTTTAAAAAAAAAAAAAACAGGAAAAAAATTCTAATTGTTCTGTGAGATTTGGGGAGAAGAAAGATTGCAAGTAATTAAAGTAATCTTAATTCGAAGCAAGGAAGCTCAGGCCACATTCAGAACTGGATAGTGAGTGTCCCTTTCAAACCCCCATACTTTCGATTGTGATGGGTACCCCATACTCTCTAAAGGGTAGCTTGTTTTCAAAGCAAACAAACCAATCTATGTTGTCCTTATGACCAGACTTTCATTCTGTATTCCCATTCATCCTATCCTGAACTGTTAAAAAAAAAAAAAAAATCTTTATTTTGTAAAGTTAAAAACAAACAAACTAACTAACCAAACAAAACCCTGGTTTTTGTCTCAAACCGTTTGTGTTCTATAGCCAAAGCCACTGGCAGAGACGGATGTTCCCCGGGTGGTAGAGGGGTCGGCTGAATAGATAAGGCAAACCTGAAGGGCTTCGGTCGGTCGAGGCAGATGAAGCATGGACAGCCTTGGGAGGCTTCTTTCTCTGACTGATAGGTTTACAGAAGGCACACAGTGGCCAGTCCCCAGCAGCAATTCTTTAGGACCCTGGTCAGTTCCAGCGAAGTTTCCTTCCTGAGTTAGGTGAGCATTCTTAAGTGTTTTTAAGCACTGTGTAACTCAAAGCACAGGCCAATTTCCCTGGACCATTTGCTTGTTCTTAGGACTGAACACTGTAAACAATGGGCTAGGGAGATGAGGTTGGGCTGAGAGACTGATTGCATCCCTTAGGACCAGAGAGGGCGCTCTAACTTGGTTTCCTACTTTCCATAAAGAGCAACTCTGGCTCTCACCCCCATTCAGAGATACCCCACAATCATCATAATCTTAGAGTTGCCGTTTTTATGCTTCTTGGAATAATAAAATCAGACATGGATTTGACTTGAAGGAGTGTAGTGCACATTGTTAGCAGCTGAGCTTGGAACGGCTACCGGTGGTTTATTTGATGTTATTTTCTGAGATAGAATCTTGAGATGTCTGCAGACGGAATGCAGGCCACAAGCTCCCCATCTTCCTGCCTCCTGCATGCCATGATTAGAGGCATGTGCCACCACACCTAGCAATAGGCAGGTGATGTCGAAGCTACGGGGTTCCTCTAATCTCCGAATGCGGAATTGAGTGTCCTCGTTTATCTGTCAGTGTTAATTTTTCTTTATTCCTCAGCTCTGTGTATAGTAAGAATTTTAGTTATTACTATAAAAGGTTCTGTTTTATTGATAAAAATCATCCAATATTGAAGCTCGGTCTGGTTATAGTTCCCAGACTGACCTTGAACTCACCAGTCCCTTGCCTCCACCTTTAGCTGGGACTTCAAGCCATACTAGTGCTCCTGACTGCTTTTTTTACTTGTCCACATGTCTTGTCTGTTCAGTTGCATTTGTGAGTCTATAAGATACTGATTTACACAGGCTTCCAATTCTGATTTAAACATCTACAGTGCCAGGTCCATAGTTAACTCACCTTCCCCACATTCTTTTGTTGTAGGAACAAGATTCTAATTAACTTCCCTTTGGCCACAGGAAAATGTGCTTTCTTAGTGTAAGATTGATAGGTGAAAACCAAGAGGCTCTTCTGTAGATGGAAGAATGGCAATTTGGAAGGAAAACTGTGACCTCAATGTAATGCTCCTTGTTGGTAACCAAGCTCTGACTCCCAAGGCACTGTCTGCAGGAGGCTATAATTTAAAACGAAGTTGATGAACCAGTTGAGTGCCTTTCTTAAAATTACTGCTTTAAAGTGGATATGTTGAAATTATCAGCTGCTAATTATTGGCTCACTGACAAATAGCATTATTTGTTTTTCCTGTTTGGCATTTTAATATTATGGAATAAGTATTCAAATGTAAATGTCTAATAATTTGTGTATTATAGAAGGCAATTTCATGAATTTTACAAAGTAGATTCAATAATCTGTACTAAATAAGCCTAGGACCAGGGAAGGCTAGCTAAGCTTTCTGTGTGTATTTTTATCTTCAGAGTCTCTCTTGAGCATCTCTGAGATGCTTCTGTCTCCCCAAAGCTGGGCTGGAGCAGACAACAACAATGATGAAGTGTTCTTGGAAGCATAGACAGATGTAATTGAGGGCAGAGGAGGAGATGAACATCTGCTTTTTTCAGACCTTTGCCACAAATTCATAGGAACCAAAAATAACACTTTTAACGCACCAGCTTTGTTTCGAGTTATACAGAGCGCAGAACATTTTCTCCTCCTCTCCCCTTTTCCTGCCTTAACATCCCATTAACTTGTATATTGACTATTAGATTGTTTAAGAAAAATGGCATTTTGGTGATCAAAAGAAAACTGACATGAGAAAGAGTGGCCTGTCCCAGCTCTGCAGGTGTGTGTATGCCATACTAGACAGAGGTTTAATTTTTGATGAGACTGAAGAGGTACCAGTGTGGATCATAACCAAAGTCTTATATTTATATTCCATTGCAAACCATATGAACAGTCATTGATTTGCTTGTCTGCATCTGTCATTTTAGGTATATAATTATATGACAGCCACCAAGAAAAATAAAAGTAGAAATAAACACTCTTTTACCCTGCCCTTGGTCACCTCAATAAGGTATTCCTTACTGTTTTGGACTAGAACAAAAATTAAAATAAGAGAATAACTCTACCCTATAAATGGTGTGAAGACCTACTCAGAGTTCATTTTAATTGCTTCCAAGTTTGTGTCTGAGCTTTTTTTTTTTTTTCTCTTAATACCCTGAAAAAAAAAAAAAGGTTATGATCAAGGAAGAACCACCACCGTTGACATGATTCTTTAGTAAACCCCACAGAGCCGGAATGCAAGAGGCCTTCAGTCTGAAAAGGTCATTTCCTCTGATCTTAGAAGCCACATCTTTTAGAAGCCACAGTCTCCTCATTACACATTCCATTTCAAAGAGGGACTTCTGACCACCATTGAGTAGATGTTAGAGAAGAACAAAGTTATTTGAAAGGCCTTTGCTGTAGTGAGGAACCTTCACAATCTATGAGGGGAAGGGGGTCGGGGGACTCATCTGGAATCGAAGAAGAAAAACCTTAATGTGTTTGGTTTCTGGTTCCTTCAGCCTCTGTGGAACGTCTAAAGAGCGTTATTTTGGTTTCTGAGGTTAAAACTTTTATTCCCCTCAAGCACACTATGCTTATGGTTTGAGGGAGGAGGGAACAAGAACACTAGAGAGTCTAATCGTGACATCTCACTTGGCCGTTTCTTCTCTTAGAACAGAATGTTGATCTCCTCATCTCCTAGAAGGAAAATCAATAAAGAGTCCTAGTCACTGGAAACAATCCTCTGGACTATCTCAGTGCTCGGATGACTTTAAAAGATGACTGTAATGGAGCTTACTGTTAACTGTGGAGACATCAGGCCGCTAGGTTATCAGTGGACAATTCGATTCACTGAAATAACAAGATCTGGCATCTTAGTCTGAGTAACGCGTTCATGTTTCCTCCCTTTAGGTTATTGGAGTGGTGAGCAAAGAGTACATACCGAAGGGAACAAGGTTTGGACCCCTGGTAGGTGAGATCTACACCAATGACACAGTTCCCAAGAATGCCAACAGGAAATATTTTTGGCGGGTAAGTGAGGAAACATTTTTTAAGACTTTTCAGTATTGGGAGGTAAATGGAGCTTAAAGAACAAGGTAACTTCCTTTTCAACCTGTGGTGAGACACAATGGCGCTCACCCAAGGAAACACTGGAATTCTGAGCAAGTTAGGTAAAACTGGCTACATGCTCTGCCTGGAAATATTGGTTGTAGGTGGTTTAGATGTGGACTGCAGGTGAATCTTGGTTTTTGCAACTCACTACCTACAGTCTTGTGACGAAAGGAAACAGGTTGCTGCTTGCTTCAAGGGCACGTTCATTTGCATTTCTCTTCGAGGAAGTAGTAATGAGTCACCAAGCCTTAGATTTCACCCTTTTTGATTTCTTGCTGAGTTAACTTCATTTGAATGGAAGAGTTATCATAAATGTATTCTCTTGAAGAGAAATGTCACTAAAAAAGAACAGGTGGAAGGTGGGTCAGTGGGACAGAGGAGGGACCATGGAGGCAGTTCTCTTTAAATCCACCTGCACCATAGGACTGTTGAATTTGACAGTATCTAAGCTGCTAAGCAGAAGGGGAATCTTCCCATGCATGTGAGATGGTAGCCTTGGGTAGCACAGCTATTCAAAAGGTCTAGCCAGTGCAGTCTGCTTTGGAATGTCAAGGTTATCGAGGACTGAGGTGACCTGGGAGATGGTATTCATGGGTGAAAACTGAATTGGGAGTGGATTTAAAAAAAAAAAAAAAGTCAGCCCCCCTTTCCCCAAGATGTCTCTGCCATGCTCAGTTTCCTCAGTTTTGAAATGAAGAGCTATTTATACAAAGTCAATGAGCAATCTCCCTCATACAGACATAAAATACACATCACCTGAAGAAATGATAGTAACCAAAATTGGACTGTACTTATTCGAGGTGATGTTAGAAAATTACTAATGAAGCTATTTCTGAGAGATTCTTTCTTCATCTAAAAAAAGTTTTAGTTGTAGATTTGTTAAGTATGTATTCTCAATTTTTATTTATTTAATAACTACTTGTTTTTAAAATATATTGCTAGAAGATTCACAATGTAAGAATGAGTGCATTTTTGCCTTTATTGCCATCCTCGGATGGGGGTCAGAGAGGTATATTAATCTTGCCCTCAAATGGTCTGAATTAAGACAATCTGACCTGTTCATTAATACACTGTCATTTTGAAAACAGTCAAGAAACACCAGAGAATCTCCCATTACTTTTCCGGTTCTGTTTCATCTAAAGATTTACAAAATCCTAATAATAAAAAACTGAAAGGCTTTCCTTGGGAGGGATTGTTTAAATCAGTTGTTCACATGGAACCAAGACAATAAGGAATAAAGCATGTTGGAAGATCCTGATTTGGTGGGCAGGAATATGAACATCTGTTGTGAGGAATGAAAGGGCTTCATGTAAATCACTCAGCCAAAGATGCTCAAGTTGAGAAACCAGTGACATTTCTTGTAACAGTACTATGAGTCAGCATGTGTTTAACCTTCTTGATAGTAGATGGAAAGGCAGGCATCGGTGTGAGTTTTACAAATGCTGGATCTTATTCTCTTGGGGTATGTGCGTGACATCTACAGGCCTGTTTTTTAAATGAGGCTACAGTTAACTGTAGTCGTGGAAAGCTGACCAGGATCGGCACAGACTCGGCTAGCTGTCTCCGCCCTAGTACAAGAGCGATGGAACCCCATGTTCCTGGAAGTTTTCGCGTCAGAGTAAACAAACTTGAAAACCCCTCTTGGTAGCTGAATTCACCCAGTCTTGTTACATTTTCTCTTAACAAGACACACCGCGGAAGCTCTCGCAGGCGGCTTTGATGAAGCCACATGCATGCCCCTCACAATTCACAGGAAGTCACTCTTAAAAGAAACTGATTCTGCTGTTTACTGCTTGTATTAAAGGGACAGAGTTCCTTTTTATTTCTGATAAGGTTAGAGGGAACTACAGACAGTGGGTGACTAAGACGAAAGCAATAGCCTACTGCCCTATAGAGCAAAATCTCTCGGGGGCAGCACGCACCACACATCTTGGAGAATGTCCTTTGTGTAAAGAGAGCTCTCTGGTCTGAAGGAAGGCAGTGCTTCTTCAAAGAAAGGAACTTTCTGGAGAAGATAAGGAGTGAGTTTATTACCCTTTGGTTTCAGTAGGAGTGGTTTTTTTGTTTTTTGTTTTGTTTTGTTTTGGTTTGGTTTGTTTGTTTGTTTTGTGTTTTTTTTTTTTTTTTTTTTTTTTTTTTTTTTTTTTTTTTTTTCTCCCCTGTTCTTAACTCTGCCTTCTTGCCAGGCATTGTAGGTACAGCTGTTAGCCAGATCTGCTGAAGGAGAGATCGGAATTCTTCCTTACAAGAGCCATCTATTTTCCTTTCTCTTCTTTCTCCAAAAGCCCAATCTCATGGTTCTGTGAGTGCTGTTTTCGCCAGCCTCCTTCCTCACAGATACGGAGCATCTCTCTACTCATTTGGCATGAAAGAGAGGCGCAGGGCTGCATATGTTTAGCAAGAGGAAAAGTGACTTCTCAGTAGACTGTCAAACTCTGGCCTCTGTGCCAGTGGCTCACTTTGTTATGGCAGGTGAAGTTCACCTTTGCCCCACCCAGTGTTTCCACAAAAAGGCAGGGTTCCAAGTATTCATCTGAACAAGTGTTACTGTGGGACTCAGGGTTGCGGGTGGAGGATGTTTGCAGAGTCTGAGCCCCGGGCGGAGGTGTAGGAAACACAAGTACAGAGGCCATAGAAAAAAGCTGAGACGAGGGTTGACACAGTCCTCTCTGCCTGTCTGCCCAGTGACTCAAGGCACTAAAAGTCGGCCTAGCTGGAAACTCTGCTGAGCAGAGTAGCCTAGGTGCTGTTCGCCGCTGTGGTAATTCCATCCGCTCCAGGCTGCTCATTAATTAATGGAGATTTGGGTTTTTTATTGTTTTTATATCTGCCCCCAACATGAAAGGCCATAAGATTGAAATGGGGGGGGGCTAACAATTAGTTAACTGTTAACTGTTTCAGCCCTCATTGCTGCTGATCCAAGGGGACTCCCACCAGAACCATGACGGATTCTCTTAACTAGGCGACGAGGGCGGGAGGAGGCACGGTGCCGAACTGCTTGCTTGTGTTTAAAGATTTTCTGAGAGGTTCAGGGGGAGCTCTCCGTGGCTTTCGGCTGGCTGCCTTTCACGCCGCATCTTTCCTCTCCTTTGGACAGATCTATTCGAAAGAGGAGTTCCACCACTTCATTGATGGCTTTAACGAGGAGAAAAGCAACTGGATGCGCTACGTGAATCCAGCTCACTCTGCCCGGGAGCAAAACCTGGCTGCCTGTCAGAACGGGATGAACATCTACTTCTACACCATTAAGCCCATCCCTGCCAACCAGGAACTTCTTGTGTGGTATTGTCGGGACTTTGCAGAGAGGCTACACTACCCTTATCCTGGAGAGCTCACAGCGATGAATCTCTGTAAGTGGATTACAGAACAAAAAAATTAAAAATGCCAGTAATGTCAGTTCTGGTCCTGTGAGCTAATAACATGGTGTCTAATTATATGGCTTCGTCATCTGTTGGGCTAACTAGGTGGCTCTAGCTAAGACTAGGAAAAGGAAAACATTTTTTAACGTCCCTACTCTTCTTATGAAATTTAATCATCACATGTATTATATATATTTGTAGTCTATGTTTATATTATATATATATGATCAACTCTGAGTGTTGATTTTAGAAAGTTACAGGAAGAAATATCTTTAATTCTGATTGATGCAAAAGGGTGATTGGGGCCTAGTGCAAACTGGTATGGACATGCTGAACATGCCAGCTATGTCCCTTATTGCTGTAATATGTCAGGGCTTAGAGTATTCATTGAAATCTTGCAAAGATGCATGTGGCTATAAAGCCATGAGGTGGAAGGCTGTTTCTAGAAAAACTGTCATAATTTTTCAAGTAGCCTAAATGAATAACACTGAAAGATTTCATATCTTAACTTCCTTCCTTATGGTAAGATGAATTAATCTCATCTTTTAATCAGTCTTACAGTAACCACCTATCACTTTATCTTGACAAGTTCTTGGTTCCTTAGGTTTATAAGCTTTTACTTTTTTTTTTGGCTAAAGTTGCTGTCGTGACCTCTACAGAGCATTCCTTTATGCCAGTCATTCTCAAGTCAGCTTTAAAAACAATTTATGAATAAAAAATTCTAACCTCTATTGTAACTGGTTGTTCTGGGTTATACTGCTGAATTTTGCAGCACATTTTAAAATGGCCACAGTTTGGATAAAATGAAATATTGAAGGATTAAAAGTCTTCATTCTGACACTCTCTCAAACTTAAGGAAACATTTCCAGAAAACTGTAGAGATTCCAGGTTATCATTTACCCAGTTTTTACTATGCAGTTTCACTTGCTTTCCCTAGAGACTAAATATGGTTCACATTTTACCACTGACACACTAGAAATAAAGTTAATTTTAGCATCTTACCTTTAAGACCAGTCGCTTTCTGACAGCATACTCTAGCTAGCTCTGTTTATTCCACAATGCTTGGGCTCTCAGGAATCTTCAGTTTTCTGAAAATCATAACTTTCGGTACCCTTCCTGTAGGATCACATTATAAGGTTTGTGCCCAGGGCCCTTAACTCAGCAAAGTGTGTGCTTGAGCTGAGCATTGTGAGTATCATCCAGCCTGGCCAAAGGTAACCATCCCTCTCCTCACGTGTTTGGGCTTTGTTTGGTTTTATTGTTATTTTATTTTATTTTTTGGACAGGGTCTCAGGCAGCTTAAGTTAGCCTCAAACCTGAACTTTTGACCCACATTCCCCTTTCAAATGCCAGGATCACAGGCTTGTGCCCACCATGCCAGGCTTAAGGGTTTACTCTTTGGGTCCGGAAGTAATTTTCCTGTACACTGTGAGATGACATCTTTGTTCTTCAGATATCCCTTTTGATTGATGCAGGATTCTGAATGTTTAGCACCTCCTATGTCCGATAGTCTTACGGGAGAGTTGCACTACAAGGCTCCTGCCACTGATTGTGAAACCTGTTGGCTCAGGTGTGGCAACTGATGACTGAGACTCTGATCAGAAAAATTTCCAGCATTTCATCAGGCCTAATAAGTAGATCGTGTGTCTGTGATGAGCAGTGCTGGATTTCCACGCTTTTAAAGCACAATAGTGGGTCTGTCCAGAATCTCTCTAAGGACTTCTATGAGGTTGGGGCGCGGGGATAGGGATAGAACGAAGGACAGTAAGTGGCCAGAAATTACAAACTGGCGAGAAAGAAGAGGGAGGAAAGAAGGTTAAAAAAGAACTATTAAATTTAACTCTGCCGCCCCCCAATCTTTTTGGTAAATTTTTTTCTATCTAATTAACCCATCTAGAAATCAGTTGACCAAATTATAGACTTCTGAATGTTAATCTGCTTTCTCAGTTTCAGTTGAAAACAGACTTTGTTTTGCCTACTGCTGAACTTCTAGGTTCTTTCTTGTAGTCTCAGGGGTGCTTATTATAGATCGAAAATGTGAGTCGGCATAATTAAGCCATTCAGAACCTTCAGAAGCAGCTCACTCTTGAAATGACTCTGTCCGCCTACAGCCATTTAAGATTTAAGAACAAAAACAGATCTTGATTTTCTTTTTCATGTTAACTCAAGCTGCTAAGTGGGAGAGTTAGAAATGATACCAGCTCCTCTGATTACTCAGCTGCTGAAGGATGCGTTTTTAAAAATGTACCTTCATACACAGTCTATAATTTCCAGCTGTGAAGTCTTTTAGAGACACTGACATTTTGCTGTGGATATCCCTTCGGGATAAGCTAGCTGGCATCCTGGCTTTGTGAAGACAGAAACACCAAACACTATGCTGTGTGTGTCGCAGAGAAGATGAAAAGTTCTGACTTCTTCCTTTGCTGACCCAGTCATTAGCTTCAGATCAGTTCAGTAATTGAAGTGCTTAAGCAAGGCCACGTCTGATCAAATCTGGGCTTTGTCCCGGGAGAGAGCCTAACTCTTTACACATAGAGCTTTCATTTGTTAAGTTTCCACTGTGAGGCGGCTGCAAAAATAGTCTGAGTCTTTGATGTGATTTGCCACATAAAAATGGCATGGAGTTGGGTGTGGTGACACACACCTTTAATCCCAGCAATTGAGAGGCAGAAGCAGGTGGATCTCTGAATTCTTGGCCAGTCTGGTCTACATAACAAGTTCCAGACCAATTGAGGCTACATAGTAAGATGGAGTCTTCCCTCAACAACACAACAAAAAAAGGCAGAGTTGGAAAGGTTGTACACTCACACCCTTTTTTTTTTCTTTTGACCTGGGGATGCTTCTAAATCTTTTTTTTTTTTTTCCTTTAACTCCAGTAAAGCTCTTCCTGTGACTGTGGGATGCCTTGCCTATCAGCTTTCCAACTTACTTGTCTCTCTCTTCCTTTACCATTTTAGCTTTAAAAAACAAAAGTGACAATTTGAACTTCCTGCCTGCTGGGCCTCACCGAAAGACTGATATTGGCCTGATAAGGGGCTATTTATTTTGGTTTAGAGGCTTGAGAAATTGCTCTCCCTCAGAAAGCTCTCCATCACTGACCCCATCAGCATTTTCCCTGATAGTGCTGTCCGCTGTGTTTATTCTGGGGCTCTGGCTACCCAGGAGTAACTGATAACAGCCGGCAGGAGATAACATCCTCTAAAGAGCTTTCCAACTGGAATCAAATCCCTCCAGCCTGTCAGCCTGGAGAATGAATGGATTTGAAAGGTTTAGTTCTGGGCTTCCACAGAGTTCATCTTCAGACCTATCAGGTAGCAATCTTGGAGTTCCTTTTCAGCCAAGCCAAACAGGGCTGTTTTATAAGAGTACAAAGGATACTCTTTTACAGTGTCTTAAGCGTCATCCCAAATCTGCCACATCTTCAACTGTAGAGGCCAAGAATCTGGCTTCTACTCAGAGCAGGTGCACCCCCACTGCAGGTGCCCTCAGCATCCTGGGGGGGGGGGGGATGCCTGTTTGAGTGAGCATCCCAGGAACCATAGCTCATCCTGTGCATCATATGTGTTAGGTTTGGCCGGGAAAGCTGCAGCTTCCCCTGCAGGCTTCATCTACCCTGTGCAATACGGCCAGGCAGCCATGGATAATCTAGGAAGGTCCTCGCTGTGTCTGAGGCTTACCGGGGAACATATCCTGTCTCTAGGAGTAAATGGTCTCCTCTTAGCTGCCTCTGTTTGCTTTGGTGCTGTAAGTAATTGAACTGGCTTGGGAAGAACCTGTTGTGGTTTGGCAGAGGTGACTGTCACGCCTCACAATTTCAGGAGACAGCCCAGAAGGTCGTCTGGTTAGACCAGAACCTTAGTGAAATGCTTGTACTGCCCAACAAGGGCCAGAATGAGAGCATCCATGTCCTTATATCTATTTGGTATAGGCAATTTGAACAGGGCTCTACGGAGTTCCTATTTAAAGCGAATCAAGTTGAAAATTGATGGACTATTCATTACTTAGAACTAGGCTTAATCCTTCATCTACGTTCGCACAGTGTGCTGATTTCCTTTAGGTAAGCTTCGAACATCTCAGAATGACGTACTAGCCCATGACAACCCCCCACCTCTGTATTTTTCCACCCCATCTTAGTGAACACTCTGCCGTTGCAGTCAGAGTTGGCACTAATGGAAACGAGATCATCCAAATGGCACTGGGGTTATGTGGAGGTTGCCATTGTTCCCATTTGTTGTTATTGTTCCTACTTTTTTTTCCCCCTCTGAAGAAATGGGGCAGGGCTTCTGAATGGGTGGCCCAGAGGCCTCTGGAGTGAGAGGCGTTAGGGGCCAGGTGTCTGGCTTTTGTATTGCCAGCTGCTGCTCAGGGTTTCTCAAGGCGAGAGTACAGCTTTCTGATTTCACTTCGGTTCCCCACAGCCCTGTGAATAACCGCCCTTTCTTCTTCGTTTTTAGCACAAACAGAAAGCAACCCAAAGCAATACAGTAGTGAGAAAAATGAACTTTACCCAAAGAATGTCCCCAAGAGAGAGTACAGCGTGAAAGAAATCCTAAAACTGGACTCCAATCCCTCCAAAAGGAAGGACATCTACCGTTCCAACATTTCACCCCTCACTTCAGAAAAGGACATGGATGGCTTTCGGAAAAACGGGAGCCCTGACATGCCCTTCTACCCTCGGGTTGTTTACCCCATCCGGGCACCTCTGCCTGAAGACTTTTTGAAAGCGTCCCTGGCCTATGGGATGGAGAGGCCTACTTACATTACTCACAGCCCCCTTCCGTCTTCCACAACTCCAAGCCCCCGGGCAAGCAGCAGTCCTGAGCAGAGCCTCAAGAGCTCCAGCCCCCATGGCAGCCCAGGGAACACGGTGTCACCCTTGGCCCCAGGCCCCCCAGAACACCGGGACTCCTACTCCTACTTGAATGCTTCCTATGGCTCCGAGGGCCTGGGCTCCTACCCTGGCTATGCACCTGCCCCTCCCCTCCCACCAGCCTTCATCCCCTCTTACAATGCTCACTACCCCAAGTTCCTGTTGCCACCCTACGGCATAAATTCCAATGGCCTGAGCACCATGAACAACATCAATGGCATCAACAACTTCAGCCTCTTCCCCAGGTTGTATCCTGTCTACAGTAACCTCCTTGGTGGGGGCAACCTGCCCCACCCCATGCTCAATCCAGCTTCTCTCCCCTCGGAGGGAGCCCGGAGGCTGCTTCCGCCAGAGCACCCCAGAGAGGTGCTTGTCCCGGCGCCCCACAGTGCCTTCTCCCTCACCGGGGCTGCAGCCAGCATGAAGGACGAGAGTAGTCCCCCGAGCGGGTCTCCGACGGCGGGCACCGCGGCCACGTCAGAACACGTGGTACAACCCAAAGCTACCTCAGCAGTGATGGCGGCCCCCAGCACTGACGGAGCCATGAATCTCATAAAAAACAAAAGAAACATGACTGGTTACAAGACCCTTCCCTACCCGCTGAAGAAGCAGAACGGCAAGATCAAATATGAGTGTAATGTCTGTGCCAAGACGTTTGGTCAGCTCTCCAACCTGAAGGTAGGCTTCCAGACCCTTGCTACCCACAGACACACGCCTGCTTGGGCCTGGGCTGAGCGGGTGGAGCCGACGATGAAAACACACGGGGCTTACCCCGATGCCTTTCCTAAAACGCTTCCGTCTGCATCGGACACCCCTCGCCCTGGGAGCAGAAGCTGAGGGGACAGGGCTCATCTCTACCTCAGAGCTAACCCCCTGTGGCTTCTTCCCAGGTCCACCTGAGAGTACACAGTGGAGAGCGGCCTTTCAAATGCCAGACCTGCAACAAGGGTTTTACTCAGCTCGCCCACCTGCAGAAGCACTACCTGGTACACACAGGAGAAAAGCCACACGAATGCCAGGTGGGCAGGGGTTTCTGGGCAGAATTTTGGATTTTCGCAGAAAATGTCTGTAAAGGTGTTCCAACGATTCATATGTATATGAGTCCTATATATATATCTATATATTGCCTTGCCACAGGCTGCTGGCACTATGCACAGGTCCTGGGTGCTCTGTGGCTAGTCACAGGCTGTAGTGATGGATAAGTGACAGTCAACTTCCGGTGGGTGGGGAAATGGCCAGGGATACACAGCCCCTTCCCCTGATTGCTTACCACAGCCTGAGTACCATTAAGAGGCTTCTGGGCTCCCAAAGTTGCTGGGTACCGGCCTGTTGTCTTGCCCCTCCCATTGGCAACCATTAATCTGGGCTTCCCCGTCTCCCTTCTCTGCATTCTCTTGTCCCCACATTTCAGGTCTGCCACAAGAGATTCAGCAGCACAAGCAATCTCAAGACCCACCTGCGACTGCACTCCGGAGAAAAACCTTACCAGTGTAAGGTGTGCCCTGCCAAGTTTACTCAGTTTGTGCACCTGAAGCTACACAAGCGACTGCACACCCGGGAGCGGCCCCACAAGTGTGCCCAGTGCCACAAGAGCTACATCCATCTCTGCAGCCTCAAGGTCCACCTGAAGGGCAGCTGTCCCGTGGCCCCGGCTGTCGGGCTGCCTCTGGAGGATCTGACCCGAATCAATGAAGAAATTGAGAAGTTTGACATCAGTGACAACGCTGACCGCCTTGAGGAGATGGAGGACAATATCGATGTGACCTCGATGGTGGAGAAGGAGATCCTGGCCGTGGTCAGAAAAGAGAAAGAAGAATCTGGTCTGAAAGCGTCTTTGCAAAGAAACATGGGGAACGGAGCCCTTTCCTCAGGGTGTAGCCTCTATGAGTCATCAGACCTGTCCCTCATGAAGTTGCCTCAGAGCAATCCACTACCTCTGGTACCTGTAAAGGTCAAACAAGAAACAGTTGAACCGATGGATCCTTAAGATTTTCAGAAAATGAGTGTTTTGTCTTGCTTCTTAGGTTATGGCTGGTGAGTCAGGGTGCCAGGAGCAAATTGCTTGTACACGATTCCAGATGGGCAAAGCTCTCGTGGCGGCAGGTGGTTCCCTGCACCTCTCTGGAATTAAAGAAGGACTTTAATGTTACCAAAATCTCAGGGCATAAATGAGGCAAAGACTCACTATATATACATATATACATATATATATATATATATATATACATATACTTATTTACAGCCATGTCTATATATTTGAACCTGTGTATTTTGAATATTTGTGTGGATATGTTTGCATAGCCTTCCTATTACTAAAACTATTGCCTAGCCATAATTATTTTTTCAATGATAATCCTTCATAATTTATTATACAGTTTATCTTTCAAAAAGCAATAATTAAAGAAGTTTACAATGACTGGAAAGATTCTTTGTAATTTGAGTATAAATGTTGTATTCGTGTCTTGTGGCTATCCTTTGTAGATAACTTCTGCACATATGTGTTTAAATACCTGAGACTTAGTAGACAGCTATGTGATTTCAGTCAACCTTTCTCTATATAATAATGCTTTAAAATAATGTTTTGCTATTGCCAAAGTCATATGGTTGGTGTGTTAACTCAGAAGATCATATCATTTGAACAACCTTGTATAAGTTGGGATATGTGTGCAGAATTACTCAGCAATAATTTGAGGGGAAGAAATATGAAAAGAAATGTTTTATGTTTCTGATGGTAGGGTTTTTTTCCCCCCCTCCTAGTCACAATTTTACCAAAATGGTGACAGGAAGGCCTTTGATAACCTGTCCCTCCAAAAACATAGGATCTTCTTATCTGCAATTCTGAGTGGCCATATGACTTTGGCATCCCTGTGTGTTATCTGAAAATGTGAAGAAGATAAAAATGCCATGTTCAAGCCATCGAGGATCTGTCTTAAAGCACAGATGGTTTTGTGTGTGTGAGGGTTGGGAGCTTGAGTCTGGGCGCCATTTTGTTGTTGGCTTGTTTTTGTTTTTAATGTCAAAATTGCACAAAGGCGGTGCCCTACCGAGAAGGATTTGATGTAGAAAGGCTCAGGCCACACTTAAAATACAAACAGACAAACAAACAAAAAAAAAAAAAAAAAAAAACAGAAAAAATAGAACTAAAAAACGGGTATTCTTGTCATCTTAGGTTAAGCGGGTAACAGACATTCCTATCCCCAACACATTAATTGTATTGTATCTGTAAATCTCAGCTTTTCTCAGTATTTGTGTCTTTGCATTTTATAATTAATTTAATTGAATATGAAAGGGCATTGCAAAGTCGTTCGACAACAATTACCTCATTGAGTGTATCCAGCAGGAGTGCAGGAAGTGATGTCTTAGTTCATGACTTGCTACTCAGCTGAGCATGTATGCTCCCAAATGGCAGGCTGGGTTGTTCCGTCTTGTATTCTCCAAAGCCCAAAGGTTACCTGTTGGTGTTCAAGGTGTAACAAAGAATGATGTATATTTATGAACCTATTTATACCACTATACCTTGTGTATATATAATATATTTATAACCGCTTAAATTGTGAGCCAAGCCATGTAAAAGAACCTACTTTTCCTAAGAGCAAAATGAACCTCTCTCTGAGGCTTTGCTTAAAACTCCATGACCTCACCATCATGTTGGTGCTTGGGCACTGACCTGCCTACTACCAGAGACCAGAGCACTTGAGTGCAGAGGTAAGGGCCATGTAGCAGCTAAGGAGGAAAAGAAATGTCACACCATCCTGTCTGATTTGATTGTTTTTGCTACATTTATGTCAGCTGGGTCACAGAAATAAAAGTCCTTTTTCCATCTCTGCTATACTTGCTTTATCTTCCTATTTCAGAACATTGTCACATGCCCATTCCCCAGTCTGATGTTTAGTTTGGTGTCTTGTATATATCAGCTTACAAAGAGAAAAACTTCACATCATCCAGGGAAACCCAAGAGCCTTACTGACCTGTTGCTGTGACTGACAAGATGGGTTCTCTGCCTACAAGGACCAAAACCAGAGCTTCCACTCGTGCTAGCTAGCAAGCTCTCACTGAGCTGCAGCCCAACTCAAGACTGACATTTCTGGATGCATCTGTGTGTGAGAAAGATATTCCCTAACTGTAGGTAAACCAAAGCATGACGTGACATTGACACCAAAAAAACGTTTTCTCTCCAGTGAACTTAGGTTGTTACTCCTGTTCTCTTCTTGTTGTTTTATTTTGTTTTTGTTTGTTTTGAGAAGGTTTTTTACAAAGACTAATTGCTTTTCTTGCCATCTGTCATCCTCTTAGGCCTCTTATATGTGAGTGCTCAGCCCACAATTAACAGTGGTTTTTTTTGTTTTGTTTTTTCCCCCTCAGAGTTAAAACTGACCAAAGTTATTGGCTTTTTATTTTGCTAGAACAACAAAACTATCTTATGTTTACGTATTGGTTTACATTGTTATTTATGTGCAAATTGTCAAAATGTAAATTAAAGATAAATGTTCATGCTTTACCAACACTTGTCCGGTGTTTTGAAAGTTGTCCTTTTCTCTTGTCCCTGCCACCACGGTGTCGCAGAACCACATTTTGAAGAATCTTCGAACAATTCGTCTCTCCCTGCCCCCCTTCCCAGCAGCACCAGCCATGAGCCTGATTTCCCACCTTTCTGCGGGCTGCCCTAGAAACTGAGTGAATGTCACTGACCTGTATTATCTCACAATGCTCCCATTCAAGTGCTAACCAAGCCAGACCCTGCTTCGTTTCCAAAACCAAGTGTGTTCGGGGAGGAATGCCATAACTCTCAATAGCGCACAGTGTTTCTTTCATTCTGAGTTATGGACATGGATCAGTATGCTTAAGGTCATGGTGAGGAACTAAGGAAGACTAGGTTCTGTTTCAGAAATGGCATGTGAGCACGCAGTCAGAGCCTGCAGGTGGGTGAGGGATGCTGGGAAGCTGGGTTCACAAACCTTTCCTGCTCGTGATTTTCATATTGCTTCTGCACTTTGAAGTCAACCCAAGGTGTGCCACAAAGAAATGCCCTACCTTCCATCCCCCATCAACCTGGGAACCCCATTTGCCACTTGGGTATTTCATGTATGTGAGTTTCCAAAAGGATGATTTAACCGCAAATGAGGGTTCGTGGTAGCATGGCTCTGAGCCTCATGAATCGTATGGTGGGAAGAAGTTTTCTTTCTTGTCCGTGGATGTTCCGGAACCTAACCAGTCCCCAGAGAGAAGGCACAAGTAAAACTGATTTCCTTTTGGTAGGCTAAAAAATAGGAGATGGGTATAAGTAAGTGTCAGTGCTCGCTGGAGAATGATCTAAAAGCCCTTTACAAGTGCTTTTTATGCCTTCCATTTCACCGTTACCGAGTTCATGGGTCCATGCTAACTGGATGTTGAGAAAATGGTGTCCCTTCTTACATTTAGACACTCAAGACTGCTTTATGTTTTCCTTTACTCTCTGTGTTTCTTTAAATTTGCTTAAACATCTTGTGCCAAGAATTCGAAATCCTGCCAACATACAACTATGCAGTTAAGAAAAACAGAACCCTATTACCCTAACGTGCCAAGTAGTACTGGTTACATGCCTACTTTCTGCAGGACCATTGTGGTAGTAATTTTTTTAAGTCTTCGTAAGACCTGGGTGTAACGATTACTAACATAAATCATAGTTCTTGAATTGGTAGCTCATGTCTTCTTTTCTTGAGAGTTGCCCATCTCAGGAACACTTGTGAATGGCCTTGGGTGGAAAGATAACACCCACCAGGAGCCCAAGAAAATATGTCAGAGTCCATATTGTTAGATTTAGGGGTCCCAGTCCTCAGTGTGGCAAAGCAGTCTGAAGAAGGCACCACTTTTTGAAAATTTCCCTAACATAAAACCGATGCGGAAATATTTCCTATCACATGTAGGCTATATATGCTGCATCACAGAAGTTTATGAGCAAATTTCTTGATGGTTTTTCCTTGGGGGAAATGAAATCAATTCATGTCTCATAAATTGGTATAAATGAAGTCATTGTCATTCTCTCTCGATGTGTGTGTGTGTGTGGGGGGGGTGTTCTCTAAAAGATGATGCCAGGTGTGGTAGCACACTTTTAATCCCAGTACTTTGGAGGTGGAGGCAGGCAGATATCTCTGAGTTCAAGACCAGTCTCCTCTACATAGGGAGTTCTAGGCCAATTGGGGTTATATAGTGAGACTCTGTTAAAAAATAATAATAATAATAAAATAACAACAAGAAAGGGCCAGGACTGAGGGAGAAATTTGAGGTACTCGGAGGAGACTTTCTAACATAAGGCCAGGGAGTTCTGTGCAGAAAGGAAGGCTGGAGCATGGAGCGGCAGCTGAAAGAAATGATGAGTAAGAGGAAAGCTACAAGGTGCTCACTGAACTAATCCGGCAGATGGTTCACGGTTTTTTTCATCTGAGGAACCAGGGAGATCTTCACCAATAACATGTCCATTTCATCACCTTCAGCCAGCCCACTCTGAGCATTAGCTACCTCTTGAAATCCACTTCCGGCTGTGTGATGACTGTGAAGTCTCTGAACCCAGGGAGAAGCCTCCCATCACACCTCCTTCCAAGACCTCAGAGCCCCCTAAGTCCAAGTGTTCAAAGTACTGCTGACAGCTTAAATAAGTGAGAAGTGATTTTAATTTCAATACAGCCCTAATCGGTGTGATTCAGACGAAAACTGCAGCAAGATTCCAGAAGGTTATTTTTAACCAGATTTATGCAAATATTCTCCACTGTGGCCCAGCTTCTCAGAACACTATAAACTAACGAACCTTCTCCTTGTATGCTCCCTTCCAGTCTTGCCAAATGCTGAGTCAAGAGTTGGCCATGTCTACATTTCCCTCTTTCTGTGTTTAAGACAGAAGGTGTTATTCAGCACAAGTGTGACATAGTCATCTTTTAGTTTTCCTCTGCCCTATCGAGAAAGAGAGAGGAAGTGACAGATAAGCACCATCGGGTAGTTTTGGTAAGAAATTTTTCAGAGTGCTAACAAAGTGCGTTTTCGTGAAATGGTAGGAAAGCACCCCATCTTTGGGCCTCGGCAAGCCTCACCTGCGGATAACGGGAATCAGCTGCTCTCCGCTCTGAGGGAGGAGCAGTGAAAAGGAAAGAAAACTCCCCCAAAGCCGAGGAGTTTAAACCAGAGGTTCCCAGGCTGGGGGTCACTGTATATCAGACCTTTACATTACGATTCATAAGAGTAGCAAAATTACAGTTATGAAGTAGCGAGGAAATACTTTTATGGTTGCAGGCCACCACAGCATGAGGTGTTAAAGGGTTGCAGCGTTAGGAAGGTGAGAGCCACTGGTTTAAACTGAGGAGACTAATTACCTCTGAGGTTTACAACACACTGGGCTTCTCCCCGAGCCCTCCTGCTGGCAGGGCTTAAGAGTCACCTGGCTTGGAAGCACAAGCTCAGCCCAAGATGCGCAGGCAAGTCCTTCTATGCCCAAGTCCCAGCCTTTGTCAAGTCTATGTGCAGCTGTAGCCCTAAACCGAGACACATACAAGGCGTTAGTGGAGAACTTTAGTTTCCTTAACCTTCCTGAGATCTCATTGGAAATGTAGTATGTATAAGGAAAGCCTGCCTAACTCTGAGGAAGAGTCCATAATACTGTGAGGAAAAAAGAAAAAAAAATCCCATGTTGCAGTTCCCAGGAATTGCAAAGGGCAATGAAATGATGCCTTCACCTGGCACCGTTAGAGAAACCCCCAACCAACTGGGTTCTCTAGCAGTACTTACTTGGGAAGAAGAGCGGCCTCTGCCCTCTCCTCTCCTGTCAGTATCAGTACAATGGCCCTGACTACAAGTTCCCATCCACATGGGCAAAGGAACTATGGGACATCAGCATCTTCTGTGTACATGTTTCTCACCCAGTTTTGGTACAAATGACCTGATAGACCATGCCCTGAGACATCCACCCACAGAAGATCAATAATGGGGTCACCTAACTCTTTCTTCCAGGTGTCTTGGGCCCATAGTCTAGGAATATATTCAAGGGAGAAACTGAGGTCAAGTTCCTACTCGTGGGACACACTGTGAACCCAGAATAAGGACTCTAGCTCTAATCTTAGGTCTGTCCATCCCCTCAAGAAAATCCTAGAACCTGCCTGGGCTTCCGTTTTCTGATCCTTGGAACGAGGTGCCATTCCCGTTGTCCCTGTTGGTTGCTGTGGTAGGCAGCATAGAGGTCAGAGAGAGGAGAGACCTGGAAATGAGGGGCAAACTGGAGTGAGCCAGATACTGTGGCTTCTTTTGGCAAAGAACAGTGAGCTGTAGGTCTGCTGACTTTTGAGAACTATGCACTCTTCTACATTGACCTGAAAGAAACTTACATTCTTTTAACTGAGATAATGTGTTATGCTTCAAACTTCTGCTACATACACTCCAGTACCAGAATTCTAGAGTGTCTAACTTAATCAGTTTTTGTTTCTCCTCCTTTGTCTCCACACCCCCCCCTTCTTTTATTTATTTTTTTTTTAAACAAAGTCATCTTTAAAAGACAAGGGGAAAAGATTTAAGTTTTGTTGCCACAAAAAAAGACCAGGGGGCAGAAACGCTGACAGCAGAGGAAGAACATGAGAACCCAGCTTAAGGAGACCCCAAGGAGATGTTGAAAGGAAACATTTCAGTTAGGAGGCCATTGAGGCCTCAATACCACTCTAACGGTTCAAAGTTTAAAAAGGGGAATAAAGAAAAATTGAGCTGAGAGAGGGAGGAGGAGGGAAAGGTTAAGGCAAGACAGAAACTGTGAGCAGATAGATGTGAAAGGGGCTGAAAATAAGTGAAAAGTGAAAAATTGCTTTATGAATAAACCGTTGAAAAACGATGAGTGAAAAAGCAATCGCTCTTCCAGTTATTACTGAAGCACAAGCTGAGGCAGGGAGGCTGGCCTGAGCAGCCCTAGCCCCTAACCTCCGCTGCAGCACTTGGCTCGGCGGGGCCTGTGGGCGGACACTGTTTTCTACTTGACTGTTCAGTTTCATTGTGATTGCCTCCAGCACTGACAGTGCTATGGGCCACTTTACCACCCCGATCACCAAAAACATGCCCGGTCATCTCTCCAATCTGCTGACACGACAGGCAGGTGATAGCCAAGCAGCACCCAGTGGGGCAAGCCAAGGAGTGAGGGCAGAGAGGTAAAAAAGACCGAGGATACAGAGGAGCTCCTGGGGCCTTCAGCCTGTTCCTGTGTTTTGCTGGGAGTGACGCAAATTCAAGTTCCTTGTCCTTCCTGGTGGTGTGCTCCCAAAAATCCACAGTGGCCCTGCCCCAAGTCCCTTCTGTGTTGACAGCCAACAGATGACCCTTCCGTGAGCACGTTTGGACTCAGGTGTAGCAAGGAAGATGCCAATCATAGCAGCCTTCCCTCCTCCACCCCTTTGCATAGCTAGTGATACAGGGAGCACCCGGAAGTGGACCGGTTTTACCAGTGT